AGAGGTAAAACTTGTAAAGGCTCCTGTAAAGTGTTGAAACATTTTTAGAAAAAAATATGAGCAAAGTTCTGGTTGGCTTAAATTTAAGTCTGTTTTGTGAAAAAAAAAAAAAACTGCTTAAAAAATTCAGCAGCGCATATAATAGAATGAGGTCAAAATAGAATGGGCCTTAATAAAATCTTTATTGGCCAATCACTAATTTAAATGCTTCAGATTGAGTCATCCAGGGTAGGTATATCCCCAATCTTGGATTAATCTAATTTCTGAGTAAAAAAAAAAAAAATCAACAATTAATCACATAAACTTATAATATCAAAGTTCATGAGAATGAATTAAAATAAGTTAAATGAGACAAAACAAGCACTGGAGAATATACAACATTTGTAACATTTTAATGATTACTTACTGCTATGTTATAGATTTACAGAGAAGTTATTAAGTTTAAAGCTTCTTGTAGCCATGCCATAGTTTGTGTCTTCCTTTTATTACAGTTTGGAAGACCATGACTTAGTGTAACAAAGGTTTTCTTCAAATAAAGAAACATAGCCCACTACCATCCTATTTAGCCTCGACATGAAGAAGGAAAAATACTTCCACTTTAAAATTTTTGTGAACAAAACCAGATAAAACGTAATACACAATTGATATTCAAGTATGACATATATACCTTCAAGAATTAGTTAAACCTTAAACACTACGACAAAACAGAACCAGCACAAAAAGAGGAAATTATATCAGACACCATAACAAAACACCTGAGATAAAATTATATTTTCAAATCAGTTTCTAGTTTTACTGAAGGTCCATATGTTTAACGGTAAGATGATGCATGGACTGGTCTATTTCTTACATTTCTTTTTTAATTATGAATTTAGGTTACTGTCTGTTGTAATGTATCATGTATTGGTCAGCTGAGAAAACATTCTTATCTCTGATCACCGTTCTAACATATTATTCGGTCACAATAAATTTTTCCTCTTCTAAAGCAATAAGTCGTAGATAATGCTATGTGCATCAGTGGTTGTTTAAGTTGTCCTGGTCAGTATGAGTTGTAGGGGTGTAAATCACATCCATCATGGCGATTCGATTCAGTATCGATTTCCTGACCCAACGATTTTATTATTTTCGATACTCAAGAATACACCATGATTCGATTCAATTAATTGATAAAATTTTTTTTTTTTTTTTTTTTTTTTTTTTTACACCTTACAGGCTAAACAAAGTTTCAAGTTTGAAATAAATCAATGAAAGCTGTAATATCGTTATGCATTTTTTTTTTTAGAAACAACAGCAAATAACCGAAGTAGAAAAGTTGCATTAAAAAATACTGCAGAAAATCAGTGCAATGCAATACCTCGGCTCCAGAGTGTCGACGTCCCCGCCCCCTCCACAGACGCTCCGCTGCACCTCTCCCAAATTGTAGCTGACCGCAAACAGTGCCGCAGACAGGAGGCCGGCTTGTTTTGTTTTTATGACCGAAATTGAGGAAAACAACTTGTGAAGTTTGACCCGCTAGAAGAGCGAGGTGCGCGAGAACGCTGGGACCCTTTTTCCACCTGGATCTCCGCTCTTTTTGGCCCTCATGTCCCTCCGTCGTCAGACTAAACTTGCCCCCACTTCCTCGCCGCCTCGGCCGTATCTAGACCCACAGTGTGTAGCACAGACCACGCTTCAATATTGAGCATAATTTAAAAATGTCTGTGTCAAGCTTACTGCATCACACTGCTGTAAGAGTATAACCACGAAGCGAAGTAGGAGGGCAAAATAGGTTTAGCGCCACCGCAGCACCGGAGGGAGAGTTACGTCCAGGAGCAAATGGATAAAAATAGACAGGAGAAAAAAAAAAAACATGAATCGATTATCTTGCGGACGTGTCGATGCATCGGATCGTCGGCTTTTGGATCGATGCATCGATACAAAACGATTATTATTTACACCCCTAATGAGTTACATGTCATCTACTCTGATCACTCATAAATGAAATTACACAATGGTCATTCAACCTTTAAAGCAGTGGTCTCCAACCCTGGTCCTCAAGATCTACTCTCCTACAGATTTTAGATGCATCCCTGCTTCAACACAGCTGAATCAAATGAATGGCTTGAAAAGGTAATCAATCATTTGATTCAGCTGTGTTGAAGCAGGGATGCATCTAAAATCAGTAGGACAGTAGATCTTGAGGACGAGGGTTGGAGACCACTGCTTTAAAGCTTACATAATATAATGGCATCTCAGTTTGTGTCGTTGGGTGAAAATTTGTTTTTAGCTTTTTAAATTTTTTATCCATTATATATTATGTTACCTAAACAAAATATTGAATAAAAGCTATCAGGCTTCTGGAGAGTAAGAAAAGGTCGAGATGGCGGTAGAAGGTTGCTTTTTACAAGTTGTCTCTGATTTAAGAGTTCATCCTATACTTCCCTGCATACTGCTGAAAATCCACTGTGAAAAGATACCCTGAAGGTAATGTTATACAGAGTACTTCAAAAAGCTGAAAATATAATTTTTAGGTAGCAAGTGTTTAAAGGGATTGTAAATAAAGTTATTTATCTTAAATAACTCCCACCTGATGGCTGATTCAGTGCCACTGATGAGTTCTGGGGTTACAGCAAAGTTGAAACATGTTGATAAAATATTCAGCTCTGACTGGCTGATCTCTCTGTTTGAAAGACCTTCTCCCACTGGTTTCAGTGATATGCTATGAACTTTCCTTTCTATGTTCCTCTCTGTGGACTCTGGTAGTTGCAGAAGTACAACTTGTAACGACTCCTGTATACATGTTGAAACATTTTTTTTAAAGTTTGGGTTGGCTTTAATGTACGCCAGTTTTGTGGGTTTTCAAATAGCACATACATACATACATACATACATACATACATACATACATACATACATACATACATACATACATAGATACATACATACATACATACATACATACATACATACATACATACATACATACATACATACATACATACATACATACATACATACATACATACATTATTTGTGTAAAACTGCTATTTTATATCGACTCCCAGTTGAAACAGATCAAATTAGATTCTTGATTTATTTTTATGTTTTAAAAGAAAGACAAATTATGTTTCCATAAGCTCCAACCCTCAGGTGCCATATCCCTTATTTATGTGTCACTTACAAATTATTTTCTACTACATACTAACTGTCTGTTATAATGTAGGTGCATTATATAACAGACAAATCTTCAAATCCAAATACTTAGCTATACGTAGTAATTACTGTATATAGATGTAAAATTATGTCAGATGCCGCATCTGTAATGTAATCTTTAAATTGATGAGAAAGAAGTTTAATTACAGCAGCAGATGCAACAGAAGTCCCTCATGAGGTTCAGTTCCACAAGGCTACTTTCTTCCATTTAACAATGCATTTGTCAGAAAAAAAACATCACCTTTCCCTGACTGCTCTTTCGTGCTGCCTGTTTGTTTAATACTGTATGCCTTTATATTCTCATATTGTGAGATTGCAGTAAGAAACTGCTATGTAAATACGGAAGCTCTAAGTCGATCAGTGAGTAAAAATGTTGCATTATATCCCTCAAAATTTCAATGAACATGGAGTAATAAAATATCCAAGTCAGAGACCTGTAACTACTGAACAGTAACTACTGTTTAAACTGCTGGTGAAGATTCTCCGTCATCCAGGTCATAGTCATTCCAAAAAAGTAAAAAAAAAAAAAAAAAACAATCCACTGGACTTTGTTTCCAAGTTTGAAGACGTTTCGCTTCCCATCCAGGAAGCTTTTTCAATTCAAAATATTAGAAATAGCATTGAGTTTGAGACTTTAGAGTGGAACAAAAAACACTGTTACTTACTGTTTAAAATGCAGTTTAAATTGCTGTTCTGTAAGTGATGTATTGCTTCACAAGAACTTTGAAGTCCTATAAGGTAGTAAAATAACAAACCAAAAAAAGTCCCTAAACCCTAAAAGTTCTTGAGTTTCTTATCATGGTTCCAAATGCTTTATAACCCCATTTTATACTTTCTTTTTTAGCTTCTTAAAATCTTAACTTCATTTAAGGGTTTAGAAGTGAGAGTAAAAGTAAGAATTTCACTCATACCTTTAATAAACTGATTTTACAAACTGCAATAGGACAGTGCCAAAGAAGGGCATCCAGTATGATTCTTCTGTGTCTCACATTTATAATATTGCTTACTCTTATTCATATTTATAAAAAAAAAGGATTTCAAGTGAAGAGTGCTTTTTAATTGCATTTAATTTAAAAGAAACTACATAATGCAGCTCAGTTAACTTGTTTAATTTAGTTAACTTGCTTTTGTAAATTACAAGTAAGTCTCTAGTCTTTCCACCTCTGAAACAGACCATCTGGTTGATTTAAGATCTAAAACCATATAAAGATTAAATGTTTCAGCCCAAGTGAAGCCCCAGAGTTGTTGTGGTCGATTCATCATAATTATGGCTTGTTAATCTAATCCTAAACATCCCAATCCTTTCATCCACTTTCAAAACTAATCAGTAAGGAAAAGTAGCCTTGATTTATGTGTATAAGTTCAGTTTTCAGACCTATGTCACCTCTAAAGGGCTTTATGAAGGTATTTGTATACATGTATAGTGTTTACAAATTGGTTTTCTCTTATGATTTATAGATGCATTAGTTGGCTAGTGTTTTGTTAATTTCTTTAAAGATATGTTTGTGCATGTTTCATTCAGCTCAGAGTGTTTTTGCATCTCATTGTACTAAAGTGGTCCCTTATCACCTTGATCCTCTGAAGTGTGCTGCCATCCTGGCATCTAACCAGATCTACTACACTTCTCTCATTTATCATTTTTCTCTACACCTGATGGAACCTGATGCTGTCCTAAAGCTTACATAATGAACATTTCACTTGCAGGATAAAAAAAAATGCAGTTGTATAAATCATTCACGACGCGTCTCTAAGGTCCGTCTCCCTACTGTCCCTCTCTGTCTCTGTGTCTCTGTCTAATGTCTTTTAAGGGGAAGAGGAATAAACCGGGGATGGAGGCTGCCAGCTCTCCAGATTCTGTGAGAGGTCGAGGGGAAAATAAAGCCATCAAGTAGGTGTCAGAGAGAGACAGTGAATGCGGAAGCATGGAGATAATCCTTATGGTGATAGATTCAGGTTTCCACAGCCAATTCCTGAATGCAGAGCTCATGTATAGTTATAGTGTGTATGTTATGTGATTTTCACTTGCATGGTTGTGAATAGTCGCCATAAAATTATAATGTTTAGGTAAAAATACTTGTTGGTTTTTTATAATTGCGGTATGAACAAAACAATTCATACCAACACAGTAAGAACAGTTAAACAAATATGAAAAAGAATACTTTTTCAAATTGGATCAACTTTAGGAATATTTTAAGGCAAGATGTGTCAAGGAAGCTATACTGTATACATGTTGCAGATGTCAGCACATGGTTAGGAAAAACCTTCCCTTAGCCAAATTTTAGTTGAAGTATTGTATTGATAACATGGAATAAACTTTTCCTCCTAGTTTTACAATGCCCATGGACCTTTATTTATATTCTAATTGATTGACATCTATAGCAAGTCAAGTTTGAGCCCTTCTTTGGAAATTTGAGTTTGGTTGACCTTTTTTTGTTGTATCAATAGTTCCTGGCTTTGCAGCTCATATCACTTGAGGGCATATTAATTTCCTTTTAAATGGTGCCGCATCTGGAAGGAAAATGCATTTGTGGGTTGAGCAGCACAGTTTAGAATGAAATATTTGCCAAATGCTCTATAAATGCAGCTTTTAGTGGGAGCAGTATCGTCGATAGTAAAAAAAAAAAAATAAAAAAAAAAATAAAGCTTGTTATCAGTAAAGAGTGTCTTAATTCAGAGAGATATTGAGATAAGACTGTTATTTATGGCATTTCCTCATCTTATCTCATCTCTTTGTTTTTTTCCAACATAGTTCAAAATGTCTATATTCCAGAATTTTGCAGTGGAGAGAAAGTAATGGCCTTTCCTACGACGGAGTATTAGGGCCACACATGAAGAGAAAAAATATTTTTGCCATGACGAGATTAAATTCGACATTAAACTCAACATTTCCAGAATAAAGTTGAAATGTCATGTTGAGTTTAATCTCGACATGTCGACGTTATTATTATTATTGGACGTTTACACTTCCTGTGATGATTATACAGTTGCAGCACGTCAAAGACTACCTTCACTCTTAAAACGCAGACTGCAGCTGTGGAGCGCGGTTGCTCTTTTCTCCAAACTTTGGAATGTCAAGATCGCCACGATATATCAACTTGGCGAGTTTAAAGTCGACACGTCGAGATTAAACTCAACATGACATTTCAACTTTATTCTCGAAATGTTGAGTTTAATCTCGACGTGTCGACTTTAAAGTCGACATGTCGAGTTTAATCTCGTCATGGCAAAAATATTTTTTCTCTTCATGTGTGGCCCTAATACTCCGTCGTACTTTCCTCATCTACATCCAGTAGTAGGGTCAGTTTGGGCGTGTTGTTCACACCACATCGATGAAAATAAGCAATCTGCTGTCTTGCAACAAATTCCTTTTTGAAAACTGGATTCCATCCCAAAGCAGCGCTCAACCAAGCTGGTGACCAGCATTAAGAAAAGCCACCAGGTTGTTGATGTGCTGTTTTACCATGTACTAATCAGCTTCCAGTTTGAAAAGTTAATAATTTGTCTGATTAAGTCGGGTTTCTTAATTTCCCAGTCATCCAATCCAATAAATGTAATAGCAAACAAGGGTCAATAGCGACAAAGTAATTTTGTGATTAGCTGTGGCTTGTTCCTGTGCAGTATTTTAAGAGGTGCAAGCTGCAAACTAAACCCAAATTGAGTTACAAATGTGGTACCATTTAAAGGGATAAAAAAGGCCTATTAAGTTTTTCAAGGACAAGAACTATAGTTACAACAAATAAATAAATGTCCAAATGCAAATTTGCTTACTTTCTGTGCACATTTTCTGGCTCACAAATTACAAATGTATTAAAATAAAGAAAGACAATAACCAACCATTTATTGCAGGCCAAACATTCCTTTTATTTATACTTATATTCAATATGCTAACTGAAAGGAGGTACCAGTTTTGACATGTCTTTCTGTGTTAAAATAAAGTTTCAGCTAAAGATGAAGTGTTTACCTTTTATTCAAAGTTTCTTTTTTTAGACATTATGAACAATAAGATAGAGATGTTGTGAGATAGACAGATTGAAATTCCACAAAAATTATATTTGACTTAATAAAATGGGAACATAATGAGCAGTCAGTTAACTTTTTGAATTTGAGGATGCTGTGTATTTGAATAAGTTAGAAAAACAGGTTTTTGAGTCTTTTTTTTTTCAGATTGCCTCTTATTTGTTGTATACTACTGTGAACTGTTTATGTACTTTTATGTTAGGGAATATTTTCTAGTTTTGTTTGATATTAAAGTTTAGATACCTGAGAATTAGGGAGACTGTCTTTAGAAGTTTTAGATACCTAAGACGTTTTACTTACATATACCTCCAGTTAAGATAGCATAGAATAACAAAATAATTTCACTTATAATGTGGATTTGCTTTAGTTTTATTTTTGTGTTATAGTTTTGTTCTTGCCTCTATAAAATAATTTCCCATGTTTTAAATTATCATTACAACAGCCCTCATCTTTTATCATAATCTTATTTTAACGGCTTGTCACATGCTCTCCTAATATTTGGCATATGTTAAAGTAAAGGTTTACTCTCATTACTATTTGTTTTTCCAGTTTTTCACATCATGTCCCTCTATACTGGCTTTTCTTTTAGGACACCTCACTCTTGTGTTGAAGTGTTTTTTTTTCTTTATAGCTGCCTGTCACTGTTTGTTGCTCTCAGATGTCTAACCCTTTGCTGTCTTTCTCTGGCTGCAGCGATCTAGACAGAGACTTTTGGAATAACAATGACAGCAGCAACGTACAGCAGAGGTGGAGCTCCTACCCGCCCAAGGAGTTCCTCCTAAATATGTCTCCCTATGCTCCCTATGGAGACCCACGCCTCACTCCCAAGTGAGTCCTGGTCATGGCTGGTAAGGGACCCCTCAGTCTGTGCAGGGCTGTCAGCAACAGGGGCTACAAAAATAAATGGGTGATTTTATTCCACAGTTTTGCTGCTTGTGACTGGCAAAATATAAAAATCCCCCTAAATCTAATTTCATTTTTGATTAATTTATCATTCTGGGCATTTAAAAGGTCACTGTAATATCCAACATCAGGGTAAAACATTTTCTATTGCTTCCTGGCCATTTGTCTTTTAACAGAATTCTCCTCTCATCCCTGTTAATCCTCATGTTTCTACATTCAGGCGTGCAGTGCTGTTTAGTATGCACTGCTGGCCATGCAGCACCTGATAGAAATGTACGGCAACATCTCCTAATATTGGTATGATACTAAGGAATGCCCAAACACTAACAGATTTCAGTTGTTTTTTTAAAGCATTTGAAATTGGTATTACTCTGTAACAAAAAGCAAAAATAAATCATGCATCTTGCATATAATGGTAGAATTCTACAATTAAGCTGAAATTAGTAACAGAGGAAAAATGTAAAATATTTTCTTTTACTGCAGCAGAATAAATTTTTCCATTCAGAGGAAAAGGTGTCTGAAGTCAACATATTTCTAAGATACATATATAAAGAGGATAGACTGTCACAGTAACATCAACTTATTAGCTTAAGTACAGAATACATGCTCTGAAAATTAAAATGCTTGACAGTCTCATTGCTTACAGCCCTGCAAAGCCTCTCCAGACCTTCTCTGACTCTCACCTGCAACCTGTGGAGAGATATAATGGAAACAGAAAACCCTCAGTGTAGATTTCTGTGTTTTACAGTTTTCTCATTTTGAATTCAAGGCCATTAATTACATCTGGAATTACTGTAGCTGCCCAATTAAAATAATTGTAAGCAATTAGATTATCCACTGAGGGTTGACTGTTGTTGACTTTTTAAAATGTTTGGGGTCCATTCGAACAAAGAACTTGACTTTTAACAAAGTGTGCTTATTGGTTTTTCTGGAGGAAAGTTAGATGAGAAAAACAGTGTCCCTCCTCTACAGATATATTTATTATATATAAAGCTACATCAAGCAAACTACAGAATTTAAGCACTAAGACCTGAGAAAAGCAAGCTTTTTGCTGTCAAGTAAGCACCACACTTCATCATTGATCTTTAAGCTTCATGTTTTGCATGAAGGGGGCTGACTTTCTTGTAATAATTTAAAGTGTGCTTGATCAATATTCGCTCTTTTTTTTTATTGTTACTAATCTATCTTAGGCTTCTTTTTTGCTTATCTTTTATTCAGTACATAAACATTAAAGGTATAGTGATGATGTCAAAATAAGTGGTCCTCCTAATTGTCAATCATTCTGTTGATATATTTACCTAAGGCCATCCTATTTGTTCGTCCCCATTTTCACTTAACGGTGGTGTGTCTGACATAGTGGAAAAATTGCAAATCTTTTGTAAAGTAAGCTTGTATGAGTGATGCAAGCAGCAACTTTTAAAAGGAGCGTGCACAAGGAGAAATGGGCTCCTGCATGCTCTCGCATGCATTAAATAGGCGTTACCTCTCGGGAGCGGGTGGAAGAGGACGGGTCTTTTCAAAAATTTGTGAAAATCCTCCACTATACCTTTAAGTTTAAAGTGACAGCGTGTAAGAGTGACCTTCATCTAGTGGTGCACTAAATTAATTACAAAGGGCAAACTGGTTCCATCCTCCCAACCAAGCATGTGAGACCTGCTACGGAAGCCGCAGAGTGACATTTTACTCTTTCTGAATAGAGGGGACACATCAACCTCCAAAGTTTTTGTACTCTGTTCCTTTAAGGGATAGACTAGTATTGTGTCAACCCTTTGCACGCAATTGAACAAAGACGAATAGTTAAATTTTTTAGACTCTTTTGTTGCAACCTGCCACGAAGACACAATCCACAGATAAAACAGTTGGAAAAGAAATAAAAAAAGGAAAAAAACTGCCTCTGTAGTGTCTTGAACAACTGAGTATTAAATAAGGAAAAGTTAAAGAAAATATATGTTTTGATGTCATTGCAAAGTTCAATTCAAAAGACAGATTGAGCATATCAAACTCCACCTGAACAAATCCAAGCCAATAAAAAAACACAGTTGTAAGATAAAAAAAACTTCATCTTCAAATAACTTTATGATATCATATCTAATCAAATGTAAAACAAGACAGTACATTTCTGCTTTAAAATGGCAAAATGTAATTCAACTAAAGATCATCCATCTAATCCTGATGGGCAGCAACTGGTGATGCAGCTGAGATACCCATCTCACATTTAGGTAGTCCTTTGCATCATTGTTTGTTTGGGTGAGGGTAAGAAACACAATTAATAGAGGGAAAAGATAAGAGTTTGTATAAATAATTAAACCAAAAATTAAAATGTGATGTGATAACATACTTAGGTTCAAGAAGTATTTGAATCATTCTGCACCACCTCTACAGTATTAATTAAGGCCTTACGATTTTAACATCTCTGCAGTACCTCCTTGTTCTAAGAAAAAATATAATACAATATCATAATTAAAGTTTTTTATGCCCCAAGTTGTGTCAAACATGATCTTTTGTTTGACTAAGCAATATTAATTCTGACACTTGATTAGGCAACACCATGTTTCATCTAGGCGGGGCACGTTCTGGAGTCTCTATATTGTCCCGTTTATTACAAAACAAATAAGCTGTCTAGCACTTAACAAAATGTGAGCACTTACAAATCTATGCAAGTCTATTAAAACACTCAAGAAATTAAAAAAGAGAAAATAAGCTGTCATTATCAATGCATCTGGATAAATGGAAAATAAACAGCAATCTACCAACTATAAGAAATGAAGTTGCAATGAGAAATTTAGGTGCAGGAGAGTAGCTGACTTTGAAGTTTGGTTGCCTTCACAAACATCCTAAAATATTGCAAGAAAGTCTTTTACATAGGAATAAAATTACAAATAGATAAATCATAGTTTAAAACTTTGCATGTTAGCTACTGTATGCACTTTACAAGTAAAATGCTTTCTCATTTTATTTAGATAGTTTACATTCTGTTATTTGCTTGGTTTTGAATGAAATCAATAAAATCCTGATTGGGGAAGTTAAGGCTATTTCAGGTCTATTAGCTTTGAAGATGAGATGATAGTTACCTAGGGGACTGACTGACTTTTTGTAATAAAGATTTTATTTTTCACTAGAAACATGGGTAAGTATCACATAGTGTGGTGTTTAGTTATTTAATACATCATCAATCAGAATGCACACTTTTAAGAGCTTCTATATTTCTGATATTTAGGCCTAACCAACATTCATACAGATTTCAACTATTTCTGCTTCGTTTCTAAGCTGAAGACAACTTGAAATTCTAGGAGGCTCTGGTGGATAGATCCCACTGAACAGCTATCTTGGTATATTGCCAGCCTTCATGCCAAGTTTACCAAACAGCTGGCCAAAGTTGTGTAATCAGTCTTATATTCTGGCTCTCCTCCAGAAAACAAATGTGCATATTTCTCGAAATGGCCATCTGTTCTTTAAGCTGTTCTTTCAATGTTGGTTTTCACACTTTCTTTTTGTATTTCTCTGTTTGTATATGTTTGAGGTCTTTATGTTTTCCCGTCTCACCTCTTCCTACCCTTGCTCTGTGTTTCCTGCTAGTTGTAACTGCTCCCTCTTTAGCTCGTAGTACTCTAAATGCTGTGAGGCTTCCTGATAGCCCTCCTGAGTCTAGTCTGACTGAGCTCTGTTCCAAAAATAGTAACAGTGCCTCCTTTGTAAACCACAGAGCAATTAAGTCTTTGGATGGTTAAAATGTCTGCTTCGTATCAGCCTCCACTCCATCATTTAGATGCATCTCACACGATCACGGAGGCATCAGGTGAACCAGCTCATTCTTATCCTCTCTAATTACAATGCACTTGACTCTTTCAAAGCTCCAGGTGATCAATTACTCCGTCTGTGTGGTGACGTTGAAAAAAATTGTAAACTTACAGAGGAGTGGGGTTTGCAGCCTTTGTTTTGGTCGTATTGCATTATGCCAGCAACATAAGTGCTCAGTTTTGATTGGCATTTATTAGCTGGTAAAACTGTCATTTCTGAAATGATTCAGCATGCAACTGCTAAATTACTACCAAAATTATTTATTTTGTTTTTGCAGAAATGAAAATGTAGGTTTTGGAAGTCATTTTAGGGGAAGGAAAACAAGTAACAAGCATGAATAAAAAAATTTAAAAGATGAAGAAAAGTAATGATTGTTGTAATCTTTAGGGTAGCTTTAAGTTTCCCCATAAAATATACCCCTCCAGTAATATCTTATCTTTCAACAACACATAATGTCCTAATGTTGTGCTGCTCGTGGTGTTTGGTTTGTTTTCACTCCAAAGGTCCTGTCACCGTTCAGTCTGTACTCGTCTCTGTAGCTCTGTGTCCAGGTCATCGGGTATGAATTTGTTTCATGCTGAGTAATATTTATTCTTTTCTTCCAGGGAGTGTTTGGTGTTAAACAGATTAAAACGCTGCACGTGTGTGAGATTACAGACATTAGTGCACTGTGTTCTCATCACCTCCATCTGCAGTCTTAAAACCCTGTGAATGATGCATCGGCATAATTACGAAGCCGTGCTGCCCACTTCAACCAGCCAGCAGGTCGATCATTGCTTTACCTTTGCGTGGAGCGAAATTGGCCAATTTCTCTCTATTTATGAGCAAATCCATGAGAACAGTGGAGCTGCACAATCATTGGTTTCCCTCATGTCACATTTAGTTCATACAGAAAAGTCTGTGTGGGAAAATTCTCCAAAACCTTCCAAAAATATTATACCTGCTTTTATTTCATAGTACTGTGATGAATAAAAGTAAGTACACCTGCTTTCAGTTTTTGGGTTCCACACTTTGGACATAAAGAAATCATCTTAACATGAAGTAACTTAAAAATAAGACATAATTTTTGCTATTGTTTTTTTGTATTTTTTTATTTTTTTTTTTTACAAAAAATATGCAGAAGTAAATGTCAACCTAGTCTTGCCATAATGTTTATTTTGTAATTAAATAAAAAGAATCCTTCATCTGTTGCTTGAAGCACGCCTGGAACATAAAAACCTGAGCAAGCAAGAGGATAAAACAACTACAATGCCATGAAACTGTTTGTTTCAAACATTTATTGTCTAAGCATACCTTAAATATTTCAGATCATAAAACTGTTTTTTTTTTTATTAAGGATTAAAAAGCTATTAAGACAAAACTCACCCTTTTCTTTTTAGTGTAAAAACTTTATGCCCATTTTTAATCCTGATAACTAAAAAACGAAACCTTTTCTTTCTTACTTTGTAGCCACACAACTTTTGTGCCTTTCTTTCATTTTGTGGACTATGAACCCTTTTGTTTACCACAGAGCCTCAAAGTAAAATATCAAACCATCTGCCTTTGGTTTTACTCACTTTTAAGATCTGGTAAGATGCCATTAATTTTATGTCCTCCTATATAAGACATTGAAACTGAAAGAAGATTTGCCTACTTTTTTTTAACCAGAACTGCAACCTACCATTAGAGTCTTATGAAATGTGCTTTTAATAGTTTGAATAACTGAACTGAAAATCTTTTTGCTCTTCGGCCTTTTGTTGGTCTGTCCCTCGTCTATCCTCTCTTGATCCTTTCTTCTCGTCCTTCCGTGTCTGTCTGTCCGTGGTACCACATCGTTTTTTCCCAGTGGGTCTGTGGTTAAGGGTGGGCAGGGCGGAGCTGGACCCTCACCTGGGGTCAGTGACAGCGGGGGTGGCGCTTGCTCCAGTACAGGGGCAGGGCCAAGTCGCAGCGACAGCATTCGGAGCATGGTGACGGGGGGCAGCAAGGCCGGGCGCTGGCAGATGGTCCAGAGCCACATGAATGCCGGAGCCCTGCGGTTTGGCAAGTGAGTTGCGCATGGTAACATGGGGTACGCATGAGGGGCTACAGTGGGCACAACAAAAGAGCATGGTGTGGATATCAAAAATGCAGTTTTCACAAGAAGCATGAATAGAACTAGAATGCACTCTCGAAGATTTAGGTAAAGCTATGTTTACATGAAATGTAAGCATGATCTTTTGCTTAGAAAAAAAGATTACAGAAAAAATAACCAAAATGTCTGTTTTACCCCAAGCCAGCTAAATTTTTTTTAATTAAGAAACTCCACACAAAGGGCTATTGTTTAAGGCTTCTGTGATGCTTTTAAGGTGTGAAAAAAACTTCTAGTAGAAAACACTTTCAAGTTCAATGTTTGTTCAGTAGGAGCCAAAGAATCCTTCATTATGTTTCTCAAACAAAAGTGAGATGGCATGTGACTGATCTCTGTACCGTGATAGTTTACTATGAATGCATTTACCATTATACTATTGCAGCATGGATAGATTGACTTATATATATATATATATATATATATATATATATATATATATATATATATATATATATATATATATATACATACATACAGACAGGCAGACAGACATCATGTTCTTTAAATACAGAGCAAAATAAAGTACAAATGAAAAAAAACATTCAGTAGAGTTCACTTTAGACACTCATTTAAGCCCCCCTTTCACTTATTATGCAACTCCGTATTACAATACTGACTCCTTGTGATGGTTGAATAGACTGATTAGAAGCTGACTTCAGAATCGTTATTTGCCCCTTGACTGGACTGAAGACACTCCACACATAATGATTAAATAATTTGGAGCTACATAACTCATCTGTTTGAAAATCAAGACACACAAATGCATAATAAAAACGAACCCTTTGTGAACATCATTTACCACTTATGCATTCCTCATTCTGTGACAGAAATGGCAAGAAGCTGTTTCAGAATTAATCTGAATTGCATGTCTTAATTTAAAAGTTCTGCGTAGATGTAAACAAGGCTCTCAACATGCTGATGTGAACTTTGCAGAGTATGTTAATGTAATATTGTGTTCATTTTACTGCGTGTACCTTTTTAACAATTTCTAGAGATACATGCTTGCATCTAAGCTTGGATTTTATGAAAAACTTTTCCCCATCACTTGTCTGTTTTGTTCACTTCCTACTTCTCCTTATTTGGTATTGCAGTATTTCCATTACTCCTCTTGGAATTGGTTTCTATTTTAGGGCATATCCCTCTCATCCTCTCCCTGTCTCCCCGCTACAGTTTCACTCTTCACTGTCAGTTTTTCTTTTCAGTCTCCTTGTTTTTCTACCCTTCTAGATTTCCCTTAATTGCGAAATCATTCAAGGTTTATAGTCATCTTAATTGACTTTCAAGCAAGGAGAAATGTGAAAATAACCCTCTAAGTCACAAATGGGATTCAGCAGATCAAGAGTCCTTATTGCTTAGAGCATCTGAATAAATGGGGCTTTTATTAATTCAAAAGACAACAAACATATAGCTTCTCAACAGAAAAATAGATACAGGAAGCCATTTTGAGGAAATGACTGTCTTTTAGCACCAGCCATTTTTCAAATGTAAAACAAATATGTCATATGTGTGTCACTTGCTTGGCTAACAAAATTTAACCAACCAGTGACTGGCTCCCAGATGCCTGATCCAATGTCCCAGAAGATGTTTTGACTTTTCATGATGCCAAGTTTTTATAGCATGACTGTGGAACCCATGATACCACTACACTAAAACTAGCTTAGTAGCCTAGCTATAGTTCTCTTTTGCACACTCAAATGCTGATACAATGGCTTTTATTATGAAAATTATATAATTTTCAGCTTTTGCATCTCTCACAGTTATTTAACCCCGACGAACATTGAAGAATATATAATTTTTTATGTATTTTTTATTCCTTTATTATTATGAGGCTCTAGTGGCCTTTATTTTTATTACAGTATTTTAGAAAGTAGTTAGACAGGAGACAGGGAGAGGAAGTGGTTAACCCCTTCACCAGTTGGCACCCATTCTGGTCAAACTGATTGGTTATCAGTGGTTGTGTCAAACTGTAGCTTGTTGCACAATAATAATTAGGTGGAACATACAAATCTTTTAATTTATGTAGTATGATTTTTTTCATTTCTATTTTTAGATTTTATCTATACTGTACACTGATTTATTGTAATATTTAGCTCTACCACTACATGGACTGAAGAAAAAACCACAGGTTTTCACTTAGAGCTGTATTGTTCAAATGAATAGTCAAAGGCCTTATCTTACAAGAAGCAACATATAAATTTCTCACTCAAATGAGATTGTTGTATATAAAAGAAATACTGCAGAAGCATAGAAGTTCTGTATTTGTTGTCAACGCTATGTTACCATACCCAGCCTGTCTTTGTGACAGATCATTCCACTCTGGAAAGTTTTTAACTGAAAAAAAAAACTTTCTCTAAATTGGCTACCTAGCCCCTCTCACAATAACATATAGTCCCCAACTTTACCCAATGTGAATTTAATATTTTCATCTTCTGTAAAATGTAGCTTTGTTCTCTCTGTGTGTCCCCTGCATCTATCCTATTGGAAACCAGACCTTTGTCAACAATTCTGCTTTTAGGGAAAGCCTGTGGTTTTAATTAAGTAGTCTAGTAGTAGAGCAAATAATTACAATAAAAAACACTAAAATGTGACAAAAAGCAAGACTCTCCAAACATTTTTCCCCTTACCTAATACTGCAACACAACAACAAAAAGATTTCCTGGATGAGAAATGCACAGACATTATTTTCATACATATTAGGAGGTGTTATTTGTTCACATTGTATGGGATGGTTCAGACTTTTCTATCTTAGGAAAACCAGCTGATTGCATCGACTCATTGACTCTTCAGCAATCCCTGACACTCAAGGCTGTAAAAAAGAAAAAAAAACCTAACTTATAGGTGCATGTTTTAAAAGGTACAATTAAAATAACTCTTTTTTTTTTCCAGTTGCCTTTCAGGAAGTCCATGAAGGCTTTGGTATGCAAAATGCTGCTAATAAAAACAAACTGCATTTAGCAACGGACAATAGATCATATCTTATTAAAATTTACATGCATGGGTACCATCAGTATGTAGAGTATTGTAATCCTCATATGATTGATTGGTAACAGCAAAAAGGGATTGACTACTTAATTATATTCATGCATTCAAAATCATGTAAGTCTCAATCTACAGAACTTTATATTTTTCAATCTTAAGCTTGAAAAAAATCTGCCTGGACGATAAATTTCTTTGTCATGTAAAAGAAAATCTCAAGCAAATAAGTTCAGTTAATTCCTTTTTTGTGTGCATGTGTCCTGTTTTGGTAATATAGCTTGAGAAATAGATGATCCAGATATAGATGACAGCCTAACCGATTTGCCTTAACAGGTAGACCATGATGGCTATTGCCATAAGGTTCTGCTTGGTGGTTGTATGTAAAACTGAAAATTTAAAATGATTGGGGGAATAAAATTGTATATAACATAAACGGAGATGGGACGGGAGTTGAGAACGAAAGAGAGGATAAGAACTAAGTGGAGAGAGAGAGATAGAGAAAGAAAAGAGCACATGTAAAGAGAGAAAATAAAACAAAACATCAAAAATATTCAACACAGAAGATATATTGCAACTACTAAAAGTCTACTTCCACCCTTATGTGAGATGAGAGGAACAGAAAATAGAGAACATAACAGCAGCAAACAGAATACAACAACCAAAAAAATTTCAAGACAAATCTTCAATAGCAGCAGGTATTCCTTAGATATAACCAAAGTCCTGTGGTATGTGTGCATGGGCATTCTTATCTATAAAAAATGTACAAAGCTTCTTCAGAAGGAAAATATGCTCAATAGCAGGTGTGAGTGGCCCCAGACTTGCCCTACAGGCCCCATGACAGATAAAGAGGCGATCTTGGTCCCATATATCCAGAAGAACCCCAGATCACTGGGACATAAGAATGGCAGACATAGGGATGGCCGCGTCCACCAGAGAAGGGCAGACGAGAGCACCCACAGACCTCCTAGAAATAGTAATTTCCACAGCAGGGAAATGTTGGACAGAAAAATAAATGACTAAACCTCAAGTGGCCAACTTTAGGTCAGTTAGCTCTGGTGCCCTTAAACTGCTGTTAAGGGGGGGGGGGGGGGGGGGGGGTTACAGTTTGGTCCAACATCAGAATGGGGTTTAACCTCTTTTTGAAAACAGAGCATTGACCTTGGCACTACAAAATTATTTTCTTTGATTTTTATTCCTATAGAAATTGTATTCAACAGTCACTGTCAGACAGTAAAATTGGTCTATCTTTAAATGAAAGGTTATTTTTTTGAGGTTTTCTAAATAATTTAAGTTTCAGCAGAAGCTCTGCTCGTTTGATGCATCCAAAATAACTGCACTAATTTCAGCTTCAACATTTCTACATTTCAACCAGTGCCGTGTTTAAATCATGGTCCGTCCAAAAAGGACATATAATTCAGTCCAATTAAGTTTATTCATGTAAACCCAATTCACAATACATGTCCTCCCAAAGAGACAATTCAATCAAAACATACAAGCGGATTGGTTAAAAGTTTCCTGAGGAAATCCAGCTGATAGCATCAAGTTACAGACTAAATGAAAAGTCCTCAAAAAAATAACACCAAAGTTTTTAACATTAATATCTGACAACAATTTATTGCCATCCAAATGAAGTAACTCACTAATCATTTATGTCACAGATAGCTGAGTATCGTCAGTCTACCATTGAAAAAAAGTAAAAATATCTTAAAATATGTGTATTTGCCCTTAAGGTGAGCTATTGAATAAGATGATCTGCTAATGGATTAAGATCTGTAGATATTAAGTTATGGAAATAAGGAAATAGAGGTGTTTTTTTTTCATTTGTTTTGTTTTTTATTTATTCAAACATAGATCCTCGTATTCCATTGGCCAATTCTAATACTTTTTATGCTAAAAAAAATTGGAAAACACACATGGGAGCGAGCTACATTGTAGCAACACCTGTCTTGGAACTCACTGAAAAAAATGAGGCTGCCGCACACTGGCACCACCATCAGAAGGCAATGCGAGTGAAGTGTCTTGCCCAAGGACACAATGACATTGAAAGACAGAGATGAAGTGTAACCCCACGACCCTTCGGTTGCAGGGCAAACTCCTGCATCCAATGCCACTGTTGTGTGTTGTTTATGATAAAACAACTCACACCTTAAATATTTCAAGCCTGGCCTAAGCCTGCCAGTGTCCCCTGAATATTTTTTTACGGATGTGACATTGATTATTTAATATATTCTGAAAAGGGTGTCTGGGATAATTTTTTTTTTTTATCATGACCTCTCTTAGAAAAGAGAAAATAATACTTTTGCCATTGCATTATTCAAAGCATATTGTACAACATAATTTGATTATGCAGCTCCATAACTGAACACAAATCTAGTAAATTTATATTAGTAGAACAATGTAGAGCAGTTTCAGTAGCAAGAGAATAGTTTAGCTGCAATAACTCTGCATAACATAACAAATATCTCAATTAAAATTGTTCAAAGGAGATTGGAAATTAATAATTAAAAAATAATCTGTAACAGTAAAACAGCAGCTGTTTTATAGCTGTAGAGGTGTGGGCAATAAAGATTGTAACATCATTTATGCAGAAATGAAATAAGTATAAAACATATGTGCAATGTAGACATCATTGTGTTTAAGCAGGCTCAGGTCTGTTCATTATTTGTGTTTTAAGTGTAGTGTACATTGTCCAAAACAGCTAGAGGAGGAACTACAGTTCGATCCTGTTTGTATGTCTTTGTGGACGGCTTTATATCTCCTCCCAGATTGCAGCAGTTCAACTATGTGGCATGGATGAGTAGGGTCCTTGCAGGTTATTTTAGCTTTCCTGAAACATTGTGTTTCATAGATATCCTCCAGGTTTTTGAGTTGAATTCATGCAAATATTTGCACTGGAGACAATGTGCTTAAAGGCCTTACTTTTGCTTCCACTTCAGATTATACGCTTCTTTTGTCCTATTTTTTACACTAACATTTCTTCCAATTGTTCTTGCATCCAGACATAAAAAAGGATGATATTTTACTAGATCAAAAGCATGGCCTTTTTTGTCTAAGTCTACGAGACCTCTGTGCAGTAGAAAACCTACCAAAAAACATTTGTTATTCAATCATCAGCATGTGTTCTGTTATTCTATTCGTTAAAAGAACACAAAAGTTTCAAATAAAGGCTAAGGAAAGTCTCTCATGTACTGTAATATACATACATGTATACAGGCTCATGTGTATGCATATATGAGTCTTGTATTTCCTTCATAAACCATTGCTTTATCCCTCTGGGTGCTTTTCCTCCTAGCCTGCGTCAGGGTTAAGGCCAAGTTAATACAGAAAAGCTCTGCTAACGCAGCTCAAGTCCAGGCCGTAAATCCTCCCTCACAGCTTTAGCTCCAGACAGAGCTGTTTAGCACGGTTTTACAGTCATCAGGCAGGGTGTGATTGAAGGGAGGATAAGGAGTGAAGCACCATTAAGGGAGCGTAAGAGAAGGAGACCAATAATTAGAGAACAGAATTAAAGAGCAGTGATTGAAGGCGGTGGTGAGATGGAGTGATGTGAGGGCCGAGGGTGGGAAAAAGATAAATTGACAGGGGGGATGAGGAACTGCTGAGTTTTGGAGCGCAAAGGTAAAAAGGGGGAGTGGGAGGAGCAGAAGGGACCTTAGAGAAAGATGGATGGAAGCAAAAGCCATCAAGGCAAGATGGTAGAAGTAGGTCAAAGCTAATTAGAGAGAACGATAACGTCCAGAAAGAGTTTAGTGTTGCAGATGGAGGCTCCAGCTAAGGGATACTAATACCTTAGCCTGAACTCACATTCAGTGAAGCAGGGTTTGGTTCTGACACAATTATGATGGAAGTTAAATGAAATGTTCCCCCTGCATTAACACTAACACAGGTTATAAAAAGACACAAAGGCTATCCAAGGTTCATAATGTTTTTCTTTTCTTTTCTTACCTCCTTTATCTTTTTTTTTTTTTTTTTATGAAGACATTTCTGATACAACCACTGACATCCTCCCACTTTCATGTTGCACCTTCTTTGTTCATTTTCTGTCTAATTCTAAGCTCTGCCCTGTTGCGTCCATCTGCTTCTTTCCCGTTTCTGTGTTTCCACACAGTTTTGGGGACACCTCCCTCTCATCCGCCTCCACCCTGGAGCACATCCCATCCTCGGCAGTCGCTCGCCCCCGCCCTCTGGTGCGCCAGCAGAGCCTTCAACAGCCTCTCACTCACCGGCCCCCTCCAGGTCCCAACGACCCACCGGTAACCTCACAGAGTCTGGGCCAGCTGCACACAGGTCCAGGCGGCGGGGGGCACCGTGGGGGCCCGCGGGGGGTCCGGGGGAGTCCGGCTGGAGCTTCCAGGCATAGAGGTACTGGGGCTGGACGATCACGGTCAAATCCAGGAAGCTGGGACCATATGATGGAGCAGATACGCCACAGAGGTCTGGACGTCAAGTCATTCCTGTAAGTCTCATGAAGTTCTCTGCTGTGGAAGATCTTAAAGTACATGATATGCTTATGTACTATACTCCCTACCTGCTTTAGTATATCAAACTAAAGAATAAATACAATGATCTTTAAACTAATATTCAATTAATTTGTAAAAAAGAAAATAAACAAAAATGTGAGGAAAAAATATTTGTTTTTCTCTTCTGATTCTTCTGATAAATTTCTCTTCAGTAATGTAATTTTCATAAGTCTGGTTGATGCTCCACCATATATATTTTAGAGTTCTTTTGTAAATATTAGTACTACTTATGTTGGTGAAACAAGCTTCCTTTGTTAATTTATTAACCTTGTTGAACTGAGAATCAGATCAGCAGTAGTGAATTACTGGTTGTCTGTTTTTGTATGTGTTTTTTTATTTTTAATTAACTTCTACTAAAATGGGTTTTTGAACAAACTTAAGTATCCTGTTGGCAATTATTGTTTCCAATTGTTTCTTCAGGATTTAAAGAACTAATGTGAAAAAATGAATGTAAAAATGTCCCGAAAAATTTGTCTCATGCATATCTCATTAACAAGGAGAATACAAGATCAACTAAAGATAGTATACATCTAACTATTATTTATGCATTGTCATTTTTCCATTGCACATCTTGCTTAATACCAATTGGTGCATAGTTAATGTATGGGAGTAATTTTTTTTATTTTTTTTGGGACAGATCAGGTGAGACATACTATAGGCAACCTTAGTGATGCTGTAGAAAGAGTGTGTTCAGGAATTCGTCCTCTCGCTACACAGAGTCTCTGTACAGTAAAAAATAACTGAAGCTCCTTATACTGTATGCTATAACTGAAAAACTTTTGTTATGTTTCCAGCGTTTTAATGATGCATTCATAACTCGGCAGTAAGAAACAGAACCTCGACTTTTCTGGATTCACATTTTCCTAACATTTGTATGAATACTACAAAAACTGAGAAAAAAACGATATCTACTCAGTGTAGGACTTACACTGACAGCATGTAATCATATAATTGCATATGATTTCAGACCCAGGAGATGAATAATGACTATGAATGTGAGTATGCCACATCTTAGTTTAAAATTACACAATAATTGACATATCAGAGCAAAAGAAAGGGTTGATTTAATATGGAAATAAGCACTTTTGTGCCTTTTAGTGACATGTGTGCTTTTATGCTGATCATAGGACATCTGGCATAAAACATCATCACACTATATATGTATCACTTGCTTGGATTGCTAGAGGGATGTTATTTAGATTATTTACAATCTTTTACAGTTTTGGAACTATATTAACATATTAGGTTGTTAAAGAGCTAAAGCGCCTTGCAGTATTAATATCATAATATTTGTTTATCTGTAGTAAATACGTATTTAAATAAAGTTAAGTAAATACACTGGTTTGGGGAAACATATTTTCTTTCTTCCTTTAGCAAATTATACAATATGAACTATGGCTTTTAACTATTCCTTCCCATTGATTAGTTAGGTTTACAGAGCAAACTAAAATTCTTCCAAAGTTGTCTAATTAGTAAATAGACTCTAACAGTGTGCAATTTAAAGTCAATATACTTGTAGATATTCTGCATACGCCCTGAGAAGATCAGTCAAAATATCTGCATTGTAAAAAAAAAAACAGACAAAAAACAAAGAACATGCAAAAATGATCAGCTTTAAATATGGCTTGCTCCTTAAAGAAAGCTAACTTACTGACATAACTAGTACAGAATTGTTCAGAGAAGTAAACAAGACGCCATCGTAAATTTGGAGGAGCCGCAACTCATGTAAAAGATTCTAATGGCATGAGAACTATTAGTTTTGTACTTGCTAGATCCTGGATTTTGCAGCAAGAAAACAAAAGTAGGGGGAAACAATGTGATAGACAGTGTTAAGAGGAGATCCAAATAGTGTTTATTGGTCTACATGCAAAATGCCATGTTAGTTGTAATTGTCCTGTGAACAAAGTATTCAACTATACAGTCCAGTTAAATAAACGGAGATTGATAGATTTACTCTGTTGGTACTTTACTTATTTACGTATTTACTTTGCCAGGCAAATTGAAAACAAGACATCCGCAATGTCACACATGTATGATGTTCTGCCCTGTTCGGATGTAGAGAGAGTTTGTCTCCCTTACTTACAATTATGGAAAGTAGTTGGAGTCAAAAGAAGTTACATGCTCTTTGGTTAAACAGTGACATGTTATGAATAAACCTTGAGAAAGGATCACATTTTTATGGGAATAAGTATTACTTGTCCCAAACACCTTTCACTCAAACATTTTGTGGCCTTGCAGGTGAAACAGACTGAATAAAAACATTTTTCAGTAAGTAAATAGCATAAATCGATATATGAAAGACGTAAATAGATAGCTACATTTTCTGACCACAGACGTAGCAAGCAACATTTAACAACCGTTAAACATGGTGTTGTCATTATTATGTTGCGGTCATTCTTTTCATCAGCAAGAAAACTAGTCAGAATTAATGGTGAGGTGGATTCAAACATGAAAGATGCTGGTGGAGGATGCAGAAGACTTGAGTTTGAGACAAAGGTCCTAAGAATTCAGAAATAAAACGATTTAAACCATCTAACCAGAGATACAATAAAAATGACCCCATTAGGTCATTTTGAATATCTGGTAATGCCTTTTGATCGCCCATATGCACCTGCAGTTTTCCAGTCCTTTATGAATGACGTCCTTAGAGATTTTTTAAATCAGTTTGTATTCGTATACCTTGATGACATTCTGATTTTCTCCAGGACCTTATCCAACAATGAGATCTGTGTGAGTCAAGTTCTCTAAAGTCTTCTAGAGAACCAACTCTTTGTCAAACCTGAGAAGGGTGTGTTGCATGCCAAATCAATCACCCTTTTATGACACATTCTCAAGAGTGGGCCAGTGACGACATATCCAGATAAGTTTCGAGCTATTCTCAATTGACCTACTTCATCAACTCGCAAGCAGCTACGTTTTATAGGAATCGCCAACTTCTACCACAGATTCATTCAAAAATACTGTCAAACTATTCTATCCCTCATTAGCCTTACCTCCTCCAAAGAAACTTGTATTTGGTCTCCTGATGCTTCTTAACCCAGCATTTGTCTAAAGCAGAAAAAAACTACAATGGGGGCACCTGAGAACTCTTAATCATAAAATGGCTTTTGAGGAGTGCTGCCCATGGTTGGAGGGAGCTGACTTCCTCCAAGAACTAAAACATCTGAAACCTAGACAGTAATGTTGGTCTCTGTTCTTTTCCTGTTTTAACTTCAACTAAAAACACCAAACACAATGCCCTTTCTGTGCACAACTGAGTCGGAACCCAATATCTCAAGTGTCATTCATCCTCCCTTCATTGTGCAGGCCTTTTCGTAGGAAATAAAGGATCAGGTCCTGGAAGCTCAGCGGTCCGTACTGGACCCTTGCACTGGACCTCCGAACCAGGTTTATGTTCCTGGTTCCATTAGGTCCTGCCTCATTCATTGGGTCTACTTGGAAAATTCTCCTTCCATCCTGGAATCACCAAACTCTTGCACTCACTAATTAAAATTTCTGGTGTCCTACAATATACAAGGAAGCTATGTTCTACCCTCTACAGTGTTTGCAACAAAGCTAGTCACCAGCCTCCCAGTGGTCTTCTTCAACCAATGCCTATCCATAACCTTCCATGGGATATTATTGCCTCGGATTTTGTTACTGGACTACCAACATCTAAGGATTTTTCCACCATCCTCGCTATAATCAACCGCTTCCCCAAAGCCTGCCACCTCATCCCTCTTTGTTGACTCCCACCCTCCCTTGAGACAGCTCAGCTCTTCACTTAGCCAAGAGTGCTCACAGTTCAGGATTTCATTCCCAAACAAATGGTCAATCCGAACGCATAAACCAGAAGCTTGAGGCCTCCCTCCACTGCCTCTATTCATTATACCCATCCTTTGCTACTGGTCTATCTCGATTTGAATTCTCGCTAGGATACAAACCTCACCTGTTTCCATCTGACAAGATAGACATTTTCTGTCAAATACCACATTCAGCCATGCAGATAGGTCTTGAAACTGACAGTTTCTGCCTTTAACTGGTCTGTGGATACAAATCCAGCTAATCAGAGAAGCTTCCCTGCTCCCCAGTACTCACCTGGACTAATACTTTGGCTATCAACTCGTGACACTAAAATAATGGGTTGGCTCATCGTTGACAAAGAGGTGTTGAGCAACCGGACAATTCCAGACAAGTTTTTTTGGGGCAACAGCCTTGGTATTTTTGGAAAGTCTTAGGAAAAAGGCATATATTATAAGTTCTCATTGCATTGGGACTTGCTTTTCAATTTGTGTGAGGTCAGTGGGATGATAAAAAAGTTCTTGTCAGGCAGGTCCTCCGTCATAGAAGAGATTAATCTAGATTAGAGTATTGTTATACTGTCTTGATTGTGCATGGTGCGTAAAAGTCAGAAATTAAGCATTTAAAGGTTGTTTCTATGCATGTTTGTGTTTAAAAAGGTTACAATAAAGAACATATGCTAGTTATAAAAAAATTACACCTTTGAGAATTTCCTAGTGTGATGTTGTAATATCATCCAAATGTTTACTATTGACAGGGGCTGGGAACAAAGGATAATTTCTCTCAAGACATTTTTGAGGATGATGAGTATTCTGTTGGGAGAACTTCTGCATATTTGTAGTGCTTAACCCACTCACTGATTTTTTTTTCTGCTTTTGTTGTTTCTGTGAAACATTATTTGATTTAGCGGAACAAATTTTGATATTGGACAAAAATATAGTCCGAGTACATACAAAAGACATATTTTTATGATTTTATTGACAAATTCTTTCGAAATAAACATGAACCTTTGTAAAGAAATAATTGCCTAAATGGGGGTCAAATTTTTTTTAATGATTTCCTGCAATAGAGCACAATTCACTGTTTCATAATTATGGCAAGTCTTCCAGGTCCTGAAAATGCAAAGCATCCCCAGCTGATCATTCGCCTACAAACA